AGCTGTCTCAGAGGCATTCGCAGTGACTAACGGAGTGAAGCAGGGATGCGTGCTGGCACCAACCCTCTTCAGTCTTATGTTCTCTGCCATGCTGATGGACGCCTACCGCGACGAACGCCCCGGGATCCGCATCGCCTACAGGGCGGACAGTCACCTCCTGAATCAACGGCGGATGCACTTCCAATCGCGCGTATCCACAACCACCGTTCACGAACTCCTCTTCGCCGACGACTGCTCCCTGAACACCACCTTGGAAGAGAAGATGCAATGGAGCATGGACCTGTTCTCCGCCGCCTGCGAGAACTTCGGTCTTGTCATTAGCACGCAGAAAACGGTGGTGATGCACCAACCGCCACCCAACTCAGCCACAGCCCCCAACGCGCCGCCGCAAATCAGCGTAAAGGGAACCCAACTGCAAGTGGTGGAAAACTTCCTCTACGTGTGCAGTACTCTCTCCCGCAACACCAAGATCGACGACGAAGTCGCCAACAGGATCTCGAAAGCCAGTCAAGTCTTCGGGCACCTCCAAAGCACAGTTTGGAATCGCCACGGTCTTCAGCTGAGCAGGAAGCTGAAGATTTACAAGGCCGTCATCCTGCCGACACTTCTGTATGGAGCGGAGACTTGGACGGTGTACGCAAAGCAGGCACGTCGTCTGAACCACTTCCACCTCTGTTGTCTTCGTCGCATCCTGAGGCTGAACTGGCAGGATCGAATCCCCGACACTGGTGTGCTGGAACGGACGGGAATCCTCAGCATCTACTCCATACTGAGGCAAATTCAGATGCGCTGGAACGGCCACCTGGTGCGCATGGACGACGAGCGATTACCTAAACGACTCTTCTACGGAGACGTCGCGACGGGTTCTCGCCGTCAAGGAGGCCAGATTCGCCGTTACAAGGATACCCTGAAGTCCTCCCTGAAATGCCTGCAAATCAACCCCACCAACTGGGAGGAGCTCGCACTCGATCGACCGACCTGGAGGAGGACAGTAAAGACAGGCGCTGCGATATACGAAACCAACCGCATTGCTGCCGCCAAAGCGAAACGTGAAGCCCACAAATCCCAACTTCGCCCAGTATGCAACGCCGCCGCACAACAGCTTCCAACGTGTTCTCGATGGTAACGGACATTCCGGGCTCGAATCGGACTTGTTGGACATCTTCGGATTAACTGCGCCTCTCGAACGGCACCAACCATCGTCCCCCCGCCTGCCTCTTCCTCCTCCTCCTCTCTGCCGCCAACTAACTCTGTCAATTCTTCTGACCCACCACTTCCATCATCCTCCTCCTCCTCCTCCTCCTCGCCCACTGCTACAACGGCGGCCGCTCAGGCGACTGTCCCGCGCGCAACAACCGACACTACCACCACCTCCCCCGACTCCAGGGATGAGGATCAGGACTACACATGCCCTCACTGCGACCGCATCTTCACCTCACACATCGGCCTGGTCGGTCACTTGCGAATCCATCGCACAGAGACGGCGAACCAGTGCCTGAAGCACCAACCTACACCCACCGCACTCGCCTCCACTGCCCACAATGCCCTCGCACCTTCAGGCATCGCATGGGTCTTTTCGGCCACATGCGCATCCACGAGAGCGGCCTTGACCGCACTCCCGACACACTCACCACATCCAACACATCCACCGTGCACACCCCCACCCT